GTGAGCTTTCCACAAACACTAGTTAGTGCAATCGTAATTAATATGCTGCATACATTACTTTGTGTGCAGCACTTCATTGCCCTTCTCTCAATGAGGCCAAATACATTGCTGATGTTTGCTTAATGTACCCTTATTTTGCCTGTTTAACCAAAATGACATTGTTTGTAAGTTTGTTTTGTATAAACATGATATAATATAGAAGCAACACTATTGTAGTGGTTCAGTATAAAATGTTATTTACTGTCTACGTGTATCCGTAGTGTATATACCTATGACTGTTTAAATGCCCACTATGCTTTGTATTTAGTAGAATGCAATACAATGATTTTTTGGGTGTAATGGTAAGCAATAGTTTGCGCTCTGTACCTGGGAACCTGAGTTTGATTCCCGGCAGTGGCTCACAATTAGGAGTATCTAAATGGGTGTTCGCCTTACACCGCACTTTAGCCCACGCTAACAATCATCTTGGTGAAGTACCCAGGATTCAATCAACCTCTATGAACCAACACAGCGTGGGGCAGGTCTTTTTCACCCAGCAGTGGATTGACAAAGAGCTCCAAACTAGTATTAATTTTAACGGATGTATTTATTACAGGATGTCAGTTCCACTATATACCGGATACTATTTGATCTGTACAATTAAACGACTGTAGCAGCAGATATACGCACACATTGTCACATACGTTATACTAATTATACTGAGTACATATACAACGCAGACATGAACACGTCATAACAGTGTGCCACTGGCCGACACAATGGCAAGCCACGCTTGGGTAAACCACCAACACACTCTGCACCTTGTCCGTTGAATGGTTGACAGCGATGCTTAGACAAACATTGTCGAAGAGAAAGATAAAGATGTTCATCAAAGAATCGCAAACAAATTAAGGGTGGTGCCCAATTGTAAGGAGAGAGAGAGGGGAGGGGGCGGGTGGTGGCCGCTTGCGAGCTCAAGGCTTGGGACAACTTGAGGTGGGGAGAGAATCAGGGGGTATAAGAGGCAAAGGGACAGAGAGGAATGGATTCGGAGGGAAAGGGGAGGGAGAGAAGAAGGGAGACCGGGAGAGAGGTGGAGAGTGGACCAAGGATGCAGGGAGATGATGGAAAGGAGGAGGCAGAGAAAAGAAGAGTAGGGAGCCAAGGAGGTTAACAGTGAGATAAGCAGGAAGGCGGGTAGATAATCAGGGATAGAGGAAGGAAGGAGGGAGGGAAGCAGGGATGCCAGGAATGCAGAAAGATGCGAGATGGTAGTAGAGAGGAACGGACAGGGATTCAGCAAGGGGAGTGGGGAGGCAGAGAAGTAGGAGGGCAGAAAAAAAGGGGGGTTGGGAGAGAGTGAAAGGGGGCTGAGAGGCTGGGAAAGGGGGCACGGAGTCAGCTGGCAGCTGCATGCTGCCCGGACCGCGCCTCCCGGCCACAGTGCGGATCCCCAGGGCTAACGAGGCGACGCGCTCGCTGTCCGCTCGCGACCTTTCATATCTTAACGAGAATTGATCACAACTCGGAGGGCCCCCCTCGGCGGCCCCTCGCAGCCGTGTCCGTCAAGCCGGGGCCGGTGCCAATGAATGGGATCCCCGTGGCCTCCTGCGTGGCCACCCCGCCAAAGCGGAGAGGGACGCCAAGAAGCCGAGCCACGGGTTCCCCTCTGCGGGTTGACGTCAGCCCCCCACCCCCATCAGCTCCCTTTTAAGTTTTCGCGGCGCGCAAGAAGAAGGGAGAGAAGAATTTCCTTTCTCAGTGGGCACGGACCCCGGAGCTGCCGGGGGAAAACAAAAGAAGTAGGCGAGGGCTTCGCAACAAAACAAAAAAACGCACACAACTTGCCAAGATGGCGAAAGGGGGCGCGTTGTTTTCTAGGGATGAGGCCACCACCACCACCACGCACGGCGCGGTGCTCGGGGAGCGAGCGAGCGACACAAAGGAGGAGTGATGCGGCGGGGTGGGGGGGGTAGATGGTGGGTCGGGCAGCCACGCCGGCACTCACACTGCCTTGTCCGCCTGCCCTGCGAGCTACTCTCTCATCATCACGTCCCAGCCAAACCTCAAACATGTTCGACACACACTCAAAAGCACTCACTCACTCCGCACTATCAAAGACAAAGATCCCGCGTGTCACCTTAACAGACTGTTGGGGGCTAAGTGGTGTTAACGAGCTCCTATGAAGGACGGCGCACGAGGGGGTGGGTGGCCAGCACCGCGCCCGGCCGCATTTGTTTACACACCGAACCAGGTACTCATTTGAGGCTGAGTCGATCTAGGGGCGAGCCGGTTCAGATAATCGTCACTGGTGTTCGCCGTGAGCGGGAATCGAACTCGGGTGGCCGGGTTTGTGTCGTAGCGCGTTAACCGCTACACTACCGCTCACCACGTGCTCGTTATTAGGGTGTGTGTGCACTCTCGCAGTGACACACTCTCAGTGACACACTATCGCAAACACACTACACTAACGCAAGACACTCATTCCCTCACTCTCACATACAGATAATGCCACACAAAAGACAAAGATCCCCCACACAGTCTCAACAGACTTGGGGCAAGGTGCTGTTAGGTATGCAGTACATATGAAGGCCGGCACGGCGCATCAACACAGACACACTCACACGCAGTCTGGGACGTTTAGACACAGACACACTCTCAACTCACACATGTTCACTCTCACAATGACACACAGAATACAGTCACACACAAAGACACTGACATACCCACGGTGTGCTAGAATCATGATACGACTGTCATCACATACATCCGCAGTCTCGGATACTACTTGCACAACCGAATGTGGGCAACCATGTTCAAGTACTCTGTTCCAACTGATGGCAATTACAAGTCTCAAGTATCACTACAGTCAGTCTCAGAAAATGATACGTAAGAAGTCTCAAGTACCGTTGATCTAACAGAGCATTGATACAAACAGCCTCAGGTACTACTGTTCCAGCAGGTATTGGGTAAAAATCTGTCTCAAGCACGAATATTTCATCAAGTGACATACGAACAACTCCCAGTACTTCTGTTCCAGCAAATGGGTAAGGACAGCCCTTAAGTACTGCTTTTCCAACAGATGATTAATAAGAACAGCCTTGGGAACTAATGTCTCAGGGGAGATGATGGATCACAAGTTTCAAGTACTAATGCTCTCGCAAGACGATGGATATGAATGAAGTACTCTGGCACGACCATGCCAGCATAAAACCATATAGCGTCCACCCTAATGACTGTACTTTCCCTCTCAGTTCCGTCTTCCCACGATTAGCATATGCAAACTTAGTGTGAGAAAATGGGAACCTCTTATCGTTGATGTGTGTACCGGTTTGATACGACTTCTATGCTCCTGTTGACGCTGGGCTTAATCCGTCCTGAACATTATGATTTATTTTCAAATACTTTAATGCAGACATTGAGAAGGAAAGTGGAGGGGGGAGGGGGTCTACTCAAATGTCCTCCTGATTTCTTTAATCATGAAGATTTTACGGTGAAGCCAAATAAGTTTCACCCCCAAATTGATGTGCGGTTGGGTCAGACTCTGATCAGGAGTCCACATAAGATTGTATTATCAATCAGCATCTGTTGGGCCACTAATACCTGAGATTTATCGTCTTACCCTGCATCTGCTGGGACAGTTGACACTTCTATATCCAGTACAGTATATTAAACATGCACAGTCATATACGCGCAGAGCCACAGCGTACTGCTGACATGTCATAATAGTCTACGTAAACGTATTAATTTATTAACAATCGCTCGCAACACAAAGGCAAACAATACGCACGTAATAAGCACAAACGCGCTGCGATACGTACCGGAAAACAATACAGCAGGGCACGGTAAACACTCAAACAACGAGCGGGCAAGCCCCACCACACCACGATGAAGGCGACAAAACAGCGGACTCAAGTCGCAGAAGAGCGGCGTGAAGGAGGTGGGGAGTAAGACGGTGGAGGAGGAGGTGGAGAGCGACTGGGGGTGACACTCGGTGGGGGAGGGTGATGATTGTAAGTGGTTAGTAGTACTGTAGTCGCGGCGGCGGCGATGATGATGATTGTGGTGTTGACGGTTAGTCGGGAGACATCATTCAGGACGCACAAGTGACGAGGGATATAAAACATGGCATCCGACGACAAACAGCACGCGAGCGGCCGCGCCACCGCTCTCTGCCGTCGTTTTTGTCCGACGCAGAGCAAAGCGCCCCCCCTCCTCCTCCTCTAGCCAAACCGCGCGTGTTTAAAGCCCCCCACGGTCGAGCTCCACGTGCGTTTAAAGGGGGGGGGGGGCTCACCACACACACACCACCTCCCTTATTATCTCGGTGCCGATTTTATTAACTATCAAAAGTACACTTCTTGAAGCTGTCGACAAACCACTCGACTACACGACACACGCACGCACACGAAACACCATTTGCGTACCCCCCCCCCTAACACCAGAACCATCACACACATGACGCGGATCACACACACACATGACGCGGATCACACACACACATGACGCGGATCACACACACATGACGCGGATCACACACACATGACGCGGATCACACACACATGACGCGGATCACACACACATGACGCGGATCACACATTACGCGGATCACACACATGACGCGGATCACACACATGACGCGGATCACACACGACGCGGATCACACACGACGCGGATCACACACATGACGCGGATCACACACACATGACGCGGATCACACACACATGACGCGGATCACACACATGAAGCGGATCACACACACACATGACGCGGATCACACACATGACGCGCATCACACACACACATGACGCGCATCACACACACACATGACGCGGATCACACACACGACACGCGCTGGGTGTCTTGGCGCAACCGTGTCCACCACGGCCAACGCCGCCGCGTTCTCTTAGTTGCTAAACGACAATGGACAGGGGTCGGCGAGCCTCCTCAAGGAGACGGGCAATAGTCGTAGTGGTACAACAACAACAACAAAAAAACCACAGCGTACGGGCGACTCTTACCTCTAGATTCCCGTGTCCCGCCTGACGAGCCGGGTTGGTGGTCGGGGTGCTCGTTGCCGGTTGTTGTGGTGCTCGTTGTTGTTGTTGTCGTGGTGCTCGTTGTTTTAAGGGTAAAGGGACATCGCGAAGAAGAGCGGTGGCAAAGACGAAGGCGACACGCGCACTGAGGACGTCCCCCACCACCGCCACGCCACAAACGCCGAGAAGGCTACACACATAGCACGCAGTCTCACCACTGGGCACATACATGCGCGCTACAGTACGTATAGACTGCAGTTACTTGCCGTGGTGTACACGCCGTAGTTGCGTAATGTAACATCGCAACAACTCGGGAGAGCGCGGCACGCCACTTACAGGGTACACACACAGAGTCCATTCATACTATACTGTAGCTTAACACGCGGCACGCATATAACTGCACGCTCATCAGTAACGTACGCAATTACACACCCATTAATACACACCGACGTGGACAGAGAGATAGATAAAGATACATACACCGGTAGGAGAGGTACAACGCAGCGCGCATCCACACAGGGGATCAACACGAGCGGTGGGGGAGGAGGAGGAGGGGGGGCCGTGGTTCCGCAGCAGCACGGGCCGGGAAGAAGACGCTGGACAAATGGGGAGTTGTAGTGGGGGGGGGGCAGCGGTGAGGGGTGGCGGCTGGGTAGGGACGGGGGAGGTGTTCACCGAAGGGGACGCGGCAGAGCGACACACACCCTCCGAAGACGGGGCCCCGAGACGCCGAGCCGCCGGGGGCTACTGACAGGCGGGCAGAGCGAGCAGCGACGAGGAGGACGAGGAGCGCGCCGAGGAGGGCGAGGGGACATGACACGGGAGGGAACAAAGTGGACGAACCCCGGCCGCGGCGAACAATGACGCCGTCCAGACAGGACGGGCGGGCGGGTGGACAGGGGCGGGGGGGGGGGTCGGGGCTGCTTCCCTCCCGACCGCGTAAGCGAGCGAGCGAACTTACCTGGGGGGGGGGGGTACAGGGGGGTGGGTGCAGGGGGGGGTACGGGGGGGGGGGGTGCAGGGGGGGTACAGGGGGGGTGGGTGCAGGGGGGTACGGGGGGGGGCCCGGTTCTTCCTGGACGCAGCGAGTCAAACCCGCGACGGTTCGGGACTTTGTGCCGGTTAAGGTTGTGTGTGTGTGTGGGATGGAGATGGAGGTTTTGTCGTCGTCGTTGTTGTTTAAATAAATACGCGTGCGAGGGAGTATGTCCCGTGGCTCCGAGCTTGCCGGTGGGAGAGATTTCGATAATTCGGAGTTCTCTTTTGTTGTTGTTGTTGCTGGAGTCCGGAGCGCGTGCGGCGAGGTTCGTCGGTCAGTCGGTGACGTCACGCGCCGAGCACAACGCCAGCAACAATGTGGCTCTCGGAAGTCGTGGGCGCTCGTCTCATCATCATCACCACCACCGCCACAACAACCACAACAACCACCCACCACAACAACCACCCACCACCGGCGACGAGCAGCAAAGCGGCACTTAGCGAGCGCCGCGATGAACGCGCGACAATCGGCACGCGCACGTCACCGTGAAGCCGCCGCCGCCGCCACGGGGCTCTTTGGTCGGTCCTCGTGCACTCGTCTGGCCAGCGGTCACTCTCGGTTCTTCACACCGTCAGGCGTAACCCACAGCGTTCATACACACATACACACACACACGAGTCAGTCTCACAGTCACACACAACATGTGCAGGGCGCGGGCAGGCAGGTCGATATGGCCACGTGCAAGGCACACGCAATAATTACGTAGGGACACGAGGACGGTCACAAGTCTCCGGTCACACTTCGTGTTGCCGGGCACACAGGCGGATGGATTGTGCAAGGCACGCAATTACAGTCACACGGATACAAAAAGAGACAGTCTCGCAGCCACACGCATGTGCAAGGTACACAAGCAGAACACGTGTACAGGCACACGAACAATCGGTCATATAATTGGGCCACAAACAATGACACGGTCATGCAGGGATACGCACAATCATAGATGGTCTCATAGTCAACATACATGTGAAAGCACACAAGCAGACACGTACGTAAATAATATCACAAACTACAACGTTACAGGGGCATAAAAAGTTCTAGTTACACAGGCACACACAAAATCACTGTCTTACAGTCACACGCATGTGTAGATACATAAGCAGATACATGTGGAGGCACACAGTCACATAGTCCCACACATTTACACGGTCACACATGTGCAAACACACCATTACACTATCGTGCACACAATGTAAAGGCAGATACATACAGACACGTATACAGGCACGCATCTAGATACATTTAATTAATTATTGAACTACAACCAAGTAAGATGCTTTGTAAAAAAGTTACCTGAATTCCATTCCCGGTAATAGCTAACGTTATTCGAGAGTGATATCTGAACCAGTACTGCCCCCCCCCTCCCACACCACTGCACAACCCTTACTGACAAATGTAGTGAAAAATGGGAATCAACCTCACGATGCCTTCATCCAGCGGTGGTTTGAAAATTGGCTGCAAATCATACTTATTGTATTTATACGAGAACCTATTGAGAGATGTGGCGAGATGTTAACTACCTCGCCCGGTATGCAGGATGTACGTGGGTTCGATCCCGATCCTGGTGCCTGTATATTTGGAGTTTGCATGTTCTCCCTGTGGTCACGTGGATTTTTCTCCGGGTCCACGAGTTTTTCCCTCCACATTTATAAACATGCGTTTAGAATATTTGGCTTGCGATACATTTTCACATGAGCCACTTCGTTGAGCTAGCATTTGTGGCCAGGTCGCTTTTGAAAAAGAGCTATATAGCTCAGTGGGCCTTACCTTGTACAGTAATTGTTTAGTTTATAGGAAGCCTCGTTTTCAAGGAGACCCTAGTCTAACGCACGCACAGACATACATGCATTGGTTTTCAGGCACACACATTGTACAATCATGCATCGCCATACGTTAAGGGACATTACGGTATTTATCTGTGAAACAGAACTGGAGATGTGCATGCATAAACATAAACAAAAATCAGACTGCGTTGCCACAAATAACTCAAGGCCCAACACATTTGTAATTAAGACGTATTTGCCGTATAACGTACTGCCTTAAACAATATGCAAACGTTTCAGGTAATGGTCCTTCTGAGTGAAGAAAGGGCAGAGATATTGCCTGACACAGTTTATCAACCTCTATACTGTGCTGATCTAATGATCGAAAAAGCACACAACACTTGACAATGTCCCTTTACACATGAACATAATGAGGCATTTGATTTCTTTGCAAACATTTCGTGAATAGATGTAATAATTGTGTTTCAACATCTGTTCCTGCTTCTTTGATGATGTCCACAGTTATATGATCTGGTCCCGGGGCTTTGCCTTTTTCAGAATGTGAAGAGCAGTTTACTTCTTCAAATGTGACATCTGTAATATCTCCACTTCATCTGAGGAATGAATCATTCATGGGATATTATTTTGCCTTAGAGATCTGCATATAATTTTCTATCATTTAACATAACCTTTGTAGGCTTTGTAAATCCATCCACTCAAGTGGAAATTGAAAGCAGTCATGGAAGCTCTTACAAACCAAGACAATATGTATATATTTTAAGAATACCAAACAAAAGTATGGAGAGGTGCATGCTTTGAATTACACTGAGACATTAATTCAAATGCATTAATTATAGAACATACGCAAGTTAAATACCTGATATTGACTGTTAAGTGGGCTATGGCGAGATACGTTGGTCAGGACTAACCACGGGATGGCAGCCAAAGAGTACATCCACCACAGAGAGAAGATGTTAGAGGTGGCGATGACTTTCAAAGCTCTTCAGCAATGTGAACATGATAGCTAATAATGATGAAAAGGCACAACGCGAACAGGTATAGACATTTGTAAGCATTGAAAGGCGTGAACAGTGCACATGCACGTATACGTTCATACATACACATGAAACTACACTTAGAGCAGTGATAACACGCTGATGTAGTTGATGACGGGGTGAGATAAGCGGATATAGAGACTTCCCAAAGGGATCGAGCAGTCTCGAGATTTCAAGCTTGTAAATATGTCCCTACGTTGAGAAAAAGCATGAAACGTAACATGTATTTTCTCTGCTAAATCTGAAAATACAAATTTTCGGGTCTCAAAAAGGTGGGGTAGAGGGAGGGAAGGGGAGCAATCCCCCCTCCACCGCCCTGGATCCGTCACTGAAGGAGAGATGTCGCAGGCGTGTTGTGTTGATGGCGATGGGGGCCCAGGGGTGTGGTGGGAAGAAGCAAATCATTGCAATACTGTACAACAACAAAAAAACACGTCGGGGCAGTGAGCCTTTATTAATACTCATGTTGAGGAGGGCGGATAAGGGCTTGCACAACAAGCGACCATCGGCAAGTCGCTAGCCACTCGCAGTGTTTACTTGGCTTATTTATTTAATGTAAACGGTTGTTGACCTTCATCCTGACCTGAGAATCTCACTGTATAATCATGCTGTCTCGTAGCGTGTAACTAACACCTTCAAACAAACGAACGCTAATTTTGCTGCGTTGGAGGGCGCTTGTTGTGTCTGCTTGCTGGTGGTGGAGGTGGTGATTGGGGGTGCTTGGGTTGAGCCCTGGTCAGGGTGAGGGTTAAACTGCGGGTCGGAATAACACGATGAAGGGGGTTCTTGTCACGGCCGGTGATGATGGTATGGTCATGTTTCTCTCCGGTTGTATTGTTCCATGCAGCTCACTTTGTACGATTCAAACACCGCCGAGTGCTTCCAGCGCTCCATTATATTTTATCAAACAAGTTTTTGATGTGAAATGTTTGGATTTACAGTTGACATGGTCATTCTTTTTTTATGGCATTGCCATTTGTATTTCAGTTATTTTGTTGTACTTGAAAACACGCGACATTTCACAAGGGTGGTAGCCTTGAAATATATTTTTGTCCCAAAAAAATAGCGCTGGGTTATTATTACACAGCTTTAAAAATAGTGGCTAAAGTAGTGTTATTGATAGTTACACTACCGTAGATCATAAATAGCAAATGTTTCTGTATTCGCGTTTATTTGGCCGCCAGTGGAATGCGTTATTTTAATTCTACCACTGCAATGACATGCAGAACAAACGTGGGTAAATCATTTTTGGCACGATTTACACGCGCGGATGTAAGAGTGCCATGGCTATCGGTGGGGAGTGGACAAGGCAGAACGTTCTGTTCACTACTCTGGCACATTAACTACCCCGGAAATCTGACACTGCAATGCATGTTAATTGCTGCATGTGTAGCCACATGTTTACAACATTGCGTTTTGTCATGATATAAAAATGGGTCCCCAAAGCATGTTTTTAGCTCTCTTCTTACGCTTGTAAATGTGTGATCAGCAATCGGTTTTGATCTCTTTGCAAGAAACATCTTTCAATATATTTTCGCACGCTTGCTTCAACGCGATGTAACTGACTCGCCGATGGGCGTGAATGGAAATATTTAAAAATAAGTCTATTGTTCAACAAGTATGTTGTTGGGACAATTACAAAGGAATAAACCTGTCAGACGAAATATTGTTTCCCATTCTCTTCAGGGAATTAATTTCTCCCACGTTAGGAGACAGTTGTGGTGCTGTGGGGATAATGTTACTACGCACTGCACTCTTACAGTGGGTGTCGGGGGAACCACAGGAGTGGTGGTGTGAGCCCATTGGTGTAGGGTCCGAGGGGCTCCCGTGCGCAGTGTTGGCGCTAATATGGCCATTGTTGTGTATACAGGGTGTAGCTGTTGTCAAGAGGCTGTCAGGCGCACTGACAGCTGTGACCCAACACACGTGCCCTGGTCCGGTGTGAGTTGGTGTTGGCTGGAAGGAGTGGAGGGGGGGGGAGGTCAGCGCCGGTGGTGATGGAGTTAGCATTGGGGGTGTGGA